AGGGGAAAAAGTTTCATTAAAATCTATACCTGGTTTTTGTACAAATCCTTTTGCAACTAACCTAGCACGATATGTTACATTATTGTCAATGTCTAACTTACGTTTGAACACCCATTTACAAGGCACAACTGTACTGTTCACAGGTAAGTCCACTAATTCCCAGGCATTATTTTCTTCGAAAGATTTTAATTCATCGTTCATTGCTAATGTCCATTGTTCACTCTCTGGCCCGCTTAGAGCCTCCAGAAGTGATATTTCATTACAGTCCACATTACACGCACTGGCACTGGCAAAACCATACCGTTCAGGTTGTTTACGAACACGACACTTCCTAACCTCATTTTCCACAACTGTTGATGGACCTGGAGTAACTAACTGCTGCTCTGACACTGCTGCAGATGCTGTAGTTTCTTCCACATCAAGAAATTCTTCGTCTGTCTTTTCTTTATCTGAGCTGGTGCTGCTTGAATTCTCGCTTACTGCACCCTTTACTGCACCTGGCCTGAATTTCAGTTTGAGGTTCGTCTCTGAAATGTCTACATTTGCGTCTCCCACTGTTTGCTGAATCTCTTCAGGTATCTCAGTTTTTACTGCAAACTCGTGGTTTGGTTCGGCCAAGTCCACTGGTATCTCGGTTACAGAACTCCCTTCCTCAATCACGACAATATCTCGACTGGTAGTTATTGTGTTATTGTTGGGATTGTACACTCTGTAACCTTTTACGTCATTTGGATAACCAATCAAAATGCATTGTTTGGCTTTTTATCCCACTTGAGCCTTCTCTCCTTTGGTATATGTACCATTACTCTACTGCCAAATATGCGTAAATGGCTAACGTCTGGTTTCTCACCTGTCCACACTTCAATTGGTGTTTGGTTGTTTAATCCTGATGCTATTGATCGATTTTTCAAGTAGGCTGCTGTGTTTACCGCTTCTGCCCAAAATCTTTTGGTTAATCCTGCATCAAACAACAGGCATTTTGCCTTCTCAACCACTGTGCGGTTGAATCTCTCGCACATTCCGTTCTGCTGTGGAGTATATGGGTTAGTTTTTTGGTGTAATATTCCTGCTTCTTGTAGATATCTATCAAACTGCTTATTACAAAATTCTAACCCATTATCTGTCCTTAGAATTTTGATTCTCTTCTCTGTCTGATTCTCAGCCATACTCTTAAATGCTTTGAATTTGTCTAATGCTTCATCCTTAGTCTTAAGAAAATAGACAAATACCATTCTGCTTTTGTCATCCACGAATAGCAAAAAATATTTTGATCCTCCAATGGACTTGGTTTCCATGGGGCCACAAATGTCTGCATGCACCGTGTGAAGCAATTCTTCACTTCTGTTACCAACATGTGAGAAGGGTAACCGTGCCTGCTTGCCTTCGCAGCACACAACGCAGCTCATATGGTTCACCTGGGACTTATCTGTATATGTCATGCCAATAACTGCACCGTCTCTCATTTTGTCTAGATCGGCGCTATTCAGGTGCGCAAAACGGCGATGCCACACATGCCCCGACACTGGTGTAAACAGACAATTAACTTGTTTCACATTTAATTTGTAAACACCGTCCACCAAATCTGCAGTTGCAATCAGTTCGTTCCTGTCGTTATAAATCATACAGCGGTTCTCAGTGAAGTTGACTCGATTTCCCTTATTAATCAGCTGGCTAACTGATAACAAGTTTGTAGCAAGACTAGGCACGTACAATACTTCTGTGACTGATATGTCATATTCTTTACCTTTCACTGTTGTTATTATTTGGGTTTCACCACAACAATCCACAGAAATTGTCGACTTATCAGCAATAACTATCTCGTCTACAAGTGTTTGTTTTGACAGATTCTTCAGCCAATCTTTTTTAGTCGTCATATGCCTGCTGGCACCGGAATCAATGTACCAGTCTGTAGTACTGAATTTACCACTTAGAAAAGTAGCATTAAATGCATTAGTTGTTTTTTTCTTTTCTATTTTATTACACTGATTCTTGTAATGCCCTTGCTTCTTACATTTGTAACATCTTACATTCGATTTTAACGTTTCGGTCGTATTGACATTTGCCGTATTTCGTTCACTCTTTTGGGGTTGCCATTTTTTAGACATAAATGCCCTGACTGTTCGCACTAACTTCACTTGAGTCCTCCATGTCTATGAGCTTCGATTTGATTGCGTCGGTCGTTATGTCTATGCCCGAATGCTCGATCGCCATGATCATCGGAGCGAATTTCTCAGGCAATCCCGCCAAAAGTAGCGATCCAACCCACTCTTCACTTATTTTGAAGCCCGTATTATTTAATCGCTGACTTGTTTCCACTATTGATGTCACGTAATGAGCCATCGAATCACAATTTTCACGCCGGATTGATATCAAGTTCCGCAGTAATCCTATTCTTCTTGTGAATCCAGTATCGTCAAACATTCTTTGCAGCTTTTTCCACAGACCCAAAGCGGTTTCTTCACTTTTAATATGCACAAAAAGTCCTGGTTCTATAGTAAGGATGATTTTTGCACGTGCTTTTGCATCATTTGCCTCGCCATTTGTAACGATGCACTTCTCCATGCCTTCTAAAATCAAATAGTTTTGAACCGCAAACGCCCATTCTTCATAATTATCGCGTCCTTTTAACTTTGTGATGCTTGTAATTATACTTCCGGACATTTCACTGAGTAACACAATGTTTCTTTTGTTTTAAAAACGTGAGGCCCATAACCTGTAGAAATGAAACGACCGTAGATGGTAACGAACTGTCAAATTTTTATTTTCTGCATAGATTAAACATACTATAGTTCCCAAAGCCTCTACTAGATGGCACCACATTTATATTTATTTTGTTAGAATACGACACATAAGTTATAATTTTGTTGTTAAAGTTAATTTCACACTGAAGCGTTGTGTAGTCGGCAGCATCAGGTATTTATTTATTTAATTAATTTTCTTATGGGATAAGTCGGTCAACGAGCAGACGGATCACTTGATGGCTTGATGGTAAGCCATCGGCGTCGCCCATTGATATCGGGAATAGGTCGACTTAACCTGAACCCTATATAAGACCATAAGACAAGACTATAATACTGAAAAGAAACAATTAATAAAACCAAACTAAGAAACAAATGTGGGAGAGCCATGCTTCGGCACGAATGGGCCGGCTCGACCGGAGTTATACCACGGCCGAGCAGAAAACCGACGTGAAGCAACGCTTGCGTTGTGTTCGTCGTGTGAGTGAGGTTGCCGGAGGCCCAATTACCTTCCCCTTTACCAATCTCCCCAATCCCTGGATCCCCAACGATACTCAAACTCCTAATCCCCAAAAAGCCGGTGACGCACTTGTAACGCCTCTGGTGTTCCAGGTGTCCATGAACGACGCCGATTGCTTACCATCAGGTGATCCGTCTGCTCGTTTACCGGCTTATGCCATAAATAAACAAATGAACCCAACTCTCAAAAACCTAAAAACCAATCTTTACATTATAACCTCTCACACAGAAACAAGGACATTTGCACAAAAAGCAACTAAAATTATAATTATAATGCACTTCAGCTCAGGCCGTAATCATTTATTGTATCATCACGCCCAAATCTGTGTCAGTCGTAGGTCAGAACCTTGTAATAATGTTGTAATCACATTGTTTAAATGAACCAGATAACCATCTCTCTTGTATTGTTTTAAAAGCCTGTTTTTAACTAACACTTTAGTATGTGCAACTACTAGCGTCTGCCACCGGCTTTGCCCGCGTTCCCGTGGGATAAAAAGTAGCCTATTTGTTAGTCCTGAACATAATCTACCCCTGATTCAAATTTTATTACGATCCATTCAGCCGTTTTAATGAGATTGAGTAACAAACATACAAAGAAACTTACAAATTTTCGCATTTAACATATTAGACTTTTGACTTTGATTTTGACTTCGGAGTCGCGGAGAACCTAACGGGTTACCGGGGCTCCGGCTCGAAGTGCAGGAGAAGGAACGGGGTGGTTTTTAGTCAGTAAGAGTCTGACACTCCCTCCCGCCTCACCCAGGCAGAGTCATTCGATGATTTTCCCACCTTAAAAAAAGTGGATGTTATACTTGGACTTCTGCTTAAACCCTCAGATTTCAAAGGCGTAAGGTTGTAATCAGTAAATTTCATTCAAGTATATTAATCTCTGTGAAATTGAAATAAAAACCGCCACAATGTCATTACATTACTGTCGTACTATACGTTTGTAAAAAAATGACAAATATTTGATTACAATTGTAATTGCATTTGCACACAGCTGGCGATAATTATGCAAAATTAATTATCGACATATGTATGTGAAACTAATCTAATTGAGTGCCTTTGTATGTATGTTTCATCATAATTCATAACTGGACTATGAGCCTCCTGTACATAAGATGGTTTGCCATAAACTCCGCAACAGGCGGGTTGGAGATCGCAGTATAAAAGGTTCAGGTTTACCAGAGAGCGCTGCTGCCCGGTCTCTGTCTAATGTGTAGTCCCTTAGTCGGGTATAAGACACCCGCGGGAAGAGTATGGGTGGTGACTGGTAGCGTGGAGATAATACGTACTCTCTGATGTAGAGGAGATTCATAGTTCAGCAGTGGATTGTCAGTGAGTGTGCAGCGAAATTGCACAATTTGATTTCCCCTAGTCCTTTCCATCATCGTACCACAAGATAATCGGCGAAGCGTCACCGATTCATGGTAGATGTCCCACCCACACGCACAAAGCGCTTCGCATCAAGCTTCCTTGTGCGTATTGCCAAGGAGTGGAATTCTTTGCCAGAGTCTGTATTTCCTAAAGGGAACCTGAGTGTCTTCAAGTCCCGAGTGAATAGGTTGCTTATGAAACGACGTGCTCCATCGTAGACCGCATCGTCGCTTACCAGGCGAGATAGTGGTCAAAGGTCGGCCCATCAAATGTAAAAAAATCTTTCTCCTTTATTTTTGCTAACAATACTTTTCATTTTGTTCCAGGTTCGACATTAACCCATAGAATTAGGGTTGCACATCAACAATGACACCACAACGGCGACTGTGTGGTCTCAGGCTGGGTTCCGTGGGTCTACTCACTGTGTTCTTCTATCTAATAGACCGATCTATAGCGGTAAGTAACAGTTTTATCTTCAATGCATTTATTTCAATTAATTCTTAATTGAGTGATCGAGTAAAATATAGTGTTATTTAGAGACAGGTGTGGATTGAAAGATGATGTAGTGACAAGGATTGAAAAGGGAATGTTACGCTGGTTTGGACATGTAGAAAGGATGGATGAAAGTAGAGTAACGAAAGAAATATACAGAGCGAATATGAATGGGGCCGTGTCGGTAGAGGGCGCCCTAGACGCACATACATACTACTCTGTCAAGAAAGTACAGGGAAAAGATCACTAATACACAAAATGTCTGTTATTCATCCAAATTTATATTATCACCTTCAAAGTATGCTCGTTTTAGAAACAATACACTTGCGCCAACGAATAATCCATTCATCATAACATTTTTTAAACGCTGCTTTCGGAATTGAGTTCATTTCTCGCCGCGAATTCTTCTTTATCATCCGCGTAGGACATTATAATGCCGTTTTTAGTTGATAATTCATATAAATCATTTAAAATATGTATTAGAAATAGTGTGGGTCCCAATATACTTCCTTGTGGTATTCCGTAAGAACTATTTTTAACTTCTTTACTTATGTATTGGTCAATCTTTACAGACTGGTAACAGTCGGATGAAATGGCAATAAGCTCATCCCTTATTACAGAAAATTGGGTGTTGCATGCCTTTTATCCCTGAAGGGGTAGGCCGGTACCACTACGGCACCTAATACCACTGTACAATGTAGCCCTACTCACGCCCTAGCCGGCCCGAGAGATAGTCCTGGCGAGATGATCTCCAGCCACCGTAAGCGTAAGGGTCTGCGGACTATCCCTGAAGGGGTAGGCCGGTGCCACTACGGCACCTAATACCACTGTACAATGTAGCCCTACTCACGCCCTAGCCGGCCTGAGAGATAGTCCTGGCGAGATGATCTCCAGCCACCGTAAGCACGGGTCTGCGGACGGCAAGCATGGGTGACTCGCCGCCTGATCAGAACCAGACCCGAGCGTACGGCGCGTCGTATTCCACGCTTTTCAAAGAGCCATCAGACAACCACAGATGGGGCCCAATAGGGCTGATGCGGACACAGAGCTGTAGAGGCTTTAACGGGTATTGCCGGGACTCCAGTTCGTAGTGCAGGAAAAGGAATGGGGTGGTTTTTAGTCAGTAAGAGTCTGACACTCCCCCTCCCCTCACCCGGGCTGTAGAAGTCATTGAATTATTTTCGCTTCTCAACAAAAAAAGTGATATACGACTTTATTCAGACTCTATGCTATTTGTCTGAGACATTCCTGAAAAACTAAAAAAAAACATCTTAACTTTGCCTGACCCAAGAATCGAACCCGAAAGCCCTTGTCACAAATCACTCGCCCAATAAGGCATTCACATTTGTTCACAATAGCAATATAAAATAAGTCAGACATTAAACTACATAGAATCGAACCCGCTAGAGTTTGGCATAATGAATGCACGCGGCGTCGCTTCATTTAACAACGCAAGGAAATGAAAGTTTCAAGCTAACATTACAATAATTAGGTAGTGTATATGTAGACACGATAGTAAATTACATACATACAAAGAAGTATATATTACTGTGTATAAATAGTAGGTAAACTCGCTTGTTGGTCGAGTGATATCAGCAGCTGTAGCCAAATGCCATTTAGCGCTTGTCTACATGTAGAATAGAAAACCAAATTATATGGAATTGACGTAAATTTTGACACTTGTCAGTGTCATCCCCATACATTTGGATTTCTACTCTCTCTGTAGACAAGCGCTAAAGTGGTGTTTGGCTAAAGGCCCAGGTTCGACAAGTCTAGCTAGACCAATACCCTTATATTTTAACTACTTCCGCGCGGTTTCACACGCTCTGCTCAGCTCCTATTGGTCGTAGCGTTATGTTTTCTAGCCTATAGCCATCCTCGATAAATGCACTATCTAACACAAAAAGAATTATTCAAATCAGACTTGTAGTTACGGAGAAATAAACAAACTCTTCCGTTTTATATAACTAAATAGTATATAGTATATTTTAATGGGACAAGCCCGCCACAAACCTTCCAAAACCGCTGCAACTCCTGTAAGCCAGGATCTACAGTAGATACAACCATGCAAACACCGGAACACTGAAGTCCAACGTCCCAGGGACATGAACAACTGTCTTGGTTACCGCAACGAAATAATAGGGTAGATGCCTAATTTTTATTTTAATGTCAGTCTTGTAGATTATTTTAAAACATTAGACACGTATTTTTTATTTATACTTTATATAAACGAATACTTTCGAAGATGTATTGATTTGAAATGTCGCGTGACGTCACTTCTATGTACATTTTATACGTAGAAATGACGTTTTAGCCCCCACTCCTAAACTTTGATTCGTTATATATATCTAAGTATTGTTTTAATATACGACAAAATAAAAAAATACGTGTCTAATATTTTTTCATTACCTAACTTACGGACTAATTAGATTTTTAATTTTTATACCCTGTCATCATACCAATTCAGAAGATATTATTATTATAAGAGAAAAATAAAAGGAAAAATGTCGACTACCATTGATACTGTTTAAGATTATATATATTATGACTAGCTGTTGCCCGCGACTTCGTCCGCGTAGAATATGAATTTTAGAACATAACTCTCTATGGTTTTAATTTTCCAAACTAAAAGTAGCCTATATTACTCCTTAGTACATAAACTACCGACCAATAAAAGTTTTGCAAAATCGGTGCAGCCATTCCAGAGATTAGCCAGTACAAACAGACAGACAAAAATTTTAAAAATGTTATTTTGGTATGTGTATCGTATGTATACTAATATGTAGTAAAAAACGGTTATTTTAATATTACAAACAGACACTCTAAGTTTATTTATCTGTATAGATTTTAATGGAAAGTCGTAACCAGATATACGTACGAGCAGACGGATCACCTGATGGTAAGCAATCGGCGTCGCCCATGGACACCTGGAACACCATAGGCGTTAGAAGTGCGTTACCGGTCTTTTGGAGATTAGGAATTTGAGGATCATTGGGGATTCAGGAATTGGGGAGATTGGGGAAGGGGAGGGTAATTGGGCCTCCGGTAACCTCACTCACACGACGAAACACAACACAACGTCACACTCCGGTCGAGCCGGCCCATTCATGCCGAAGCAAGGCTCTCCCACACTTAAACATAATATTATTACGTTTCATTATGTTCCAGGCTCTAGACGGCTACATACCCGGAGAAGATTACCCGGTCTACACAGAGGTCCCCAAGGGTTTATCATTCACATGTGATGACAAGATACCAGGGTACTACGCAGACCCGGAGACTATGTGTCAAGTAAGTTTGTTTTAATAAACGAGCAGACGGATCATTTATTTTTATTTTTACAATAATTGTTAGTGCTAGGACCGTGGGAGACTTTGTCTCGCCATTTCTTTTCTAATCCTTACTTATATTATAAATCGGAAAGTGAGTTTGTTTGTTTGTTTGTTCCACTTTAACTCAGTAACTACTAAACCGATTGCTTTGAATTTTTGCAGATGTATAGTTAGAAGTCCGGATTAAATAACAGAGTACTGTTTATCCCGGAAAAATTTGATATTCCCGAGGGAAAACAAAAGTATTGGTATAGATGGCGCTGTGTGTATATGTCACATTGGCTTTTTTTATCCTTTAGTGACGCGAGCGAAGCCGCGAGTAAAAGCTAGTTACTCATATTCTGACAGTTTGAATATTTGTGCGACCCACGCAAATGTTCTTAGGTTGGTATTGTTCGTCGAATCAGTCAGCCTCACCTGTTAATTGAGCTGACTGTAAACCGACACATGCGTACTGCCTCCAGAGCGGGTCTGCTCAAACTTATTGGGATTTTATTAATATTTCCGGATTAAATAAGAATTCTGATGATATAATGGAACACTTTTATTCTTTTTTGTAATGAGTGAGAACCAAAAATAATCAGACCATAGACAACAAAACAAAAATCAGAAAAAGAAAACAACGTCCATGCAAACCATAAATAATACCAAAGAGTATACCTCTACAATACTCTATAAATATATTTATACAATTTATAACTTAACAAAACTGTTGTGGTTCTTTCCTGAAAAAGCCACTACAGAAAGAACTTGCACGGTTCTTACACATAATCTGTTATACATAATATTGTCTGGACTTTAAAAGAGACGGACCTCTGAATTTGTTTCGACATTTCTTCTCAGAGTAGTCAGATAGGAAATATCGACCTCATCGTTCGCTTGATAAAATTGACGTGTAAAAGTGCTGCCTTGTAGCCTATTTGCAGAAATAAATTCATTTGTTTCACATGATCACCTGATGGTAAGCAATCGGCGTCGCCCATGGATACCTGGAACATCAGAGGATTTACAACTTACTTTTTTATACATTTGATGGGCCGACATTTGACCACTATCTCGCCTGGTGGTAAATATATCTAATCGTGACTTGTTGTACAATGTGTTGTTTTAAAGCCGCGTTATTTTCTAGGAGGGAACTCGCATATCGATTCTGAGTTCAAATCAATAAAAAAAATTGTAGGTAAATATTTTTAAATTTTCTGTAAATTACGGAAATCCGTTAGTGCGAACTACACGCCGCCGTCTTGTAACTAGTTTTATAACGCGAATTATCACACACAAACTCAAACACGTAATTCATATTATTCCTAATTCCATAAAACTCCAATAAGAAACATTGCCGTCGCTTATTCTGAAATACTGTCGAACTTAACGATTTATTATAGCCGTATTTTCAACTATTGGCCCGAAATTTTCTCTTACATTGAACCTTTATGACATCTGTGACATGTCCCTGAGAAATGACACGGCTTCAAAACAACACCTTGTATATTTTTTAAATCACCCAAGAAGTCATTGCGTGCAGGAATCGATCCTACGACACGGTGTACCTTTATTTACCTCTCAGATAAATAATTTACTAACATCAAGCATTTTTTGAGCTCTTTTTGTAATCACTAAGTTTCTCTCTCTTCACATAGGTATTATTTATTATCTACGACAACGTCTCGCACTTGCGCCTACCAAAATTCCCATAGCACCATGTACCTCTTTTACAGGAGAAGCACACACAATGAACGCCTACTGTAATTCTATCTGACAGTGCTGCCTCGTTGGCCGAGTGGTCGCTAGTGCGACTGCCGAGCAAGGGGTATCGGGTTCGATTCCCGGGTCGGGCAAAGTATTACTGGTTTTACTTTTAATTTTCAGTAGCAGCACGGATTCTAAAATTGTGCCCGGTATATGGCAATATGCTTGCCCCCAATTACATGTCCCGGGTCGGGCAAAGTATTACTGGATTTTCTTTTAATTCTCAGTGGTAGCACGGAGTCTGAAATTATACCCGGTATATGGCAATATGCTCGCCCCCAATTACATGGGATTTTAACATAAATAGTGAAAACTGGGTATTATATTATACAGTGCCGTAATGTGTAATGCCTAACCTAATCTAACCCTTCAGGGCTAAAAGGCGTGATGTTATGTTACGTTTTACTCAAACATTTTCTTCAGCGCCTACACAAAATCTCATAGCAAGTCATATTCCCAGGTATGGCACTGGTGCGTCCCGAGTATCGGCGGGAACCTAATGTACTCCTTCGTCTGCGGAGCTGGCACAGTCTTCAATCAGAAAACTAGAGTCTGCGACTGGTTTTTCAAGGTGACCTTTAAGATAATTTATTTAATAACGTTACGTACTAGGATTTTATTCAAACCTGCAATCCTTACTAATATTATAAATTGGAAAGTGAGTTTGTTTCTTTGTTTGTTCCACTTTCACGCCGTAACTACTAAACCGATTGCTTTGATTTTTTTCAGACGTAAAGCTAGAAGTCCGGATTAAATAATAGGGTACATTTTATCCCGGAAAAATTTGATATTCCCGAGGGAAAACAAAAGTATTGGTATATGTGTGTATTGGTATATGTCATATAGGCTACTTTTTATCCTTTTGTGACGCGAGCGAAGCCGTGGGTAAAAGCTAGTGAAATTCATAAAGATAAGGGTACTGTTACACAAGATAATGTCAAGCACAAAAGCATGCTTTAATTGAGCGCTAGTAGTAGTGTGTGTCGGAATGTTGCTCAGTATACTCATTTCAAGCATGCTTGCAAATCGGCAGGCGTTTGATTTTTGAGCATTATTGAGCATGCTCAATAGAAAGACTATCAGCATGATATTTTAAAGCATCTGTAACAGTGCCCTTAATTTTTTTTATAGGATAGGCCTGCAAACGATCTGACGAATTACCTGATGGTAAGCAACGCTTAAATACCAGAAATGCTAAGCCAACCTTAGAGGGATTTGGAGGTTGGGTATGTGGGTATTTAGGAATGGGGGAGGGATTGGGAAGAAGTCAGGTCACCCTCACCTCAGTGACACGGCGAAGTACAACGCAAGTGTTGTTTCACGTCGATTTTCTGTGAGACCCTGGCGTCCCTGCATTCCAACCAGCCTGTCTTTTGGTTATTATTATTGGAAGCAAGTATAACAGCTCACACATAGGACCCACTTAGTTTATTAGTCAAATTTCTGTGGTGCTTGGCGACTGAGCTTCACCCAGTTGTACAGTCTCTTCTTTGTGCCTTTAGGCTTAATTCATTCTGTCTCCTGCAGTAATTCACCGAGGGAAGTAGAAACTATAATCTTTTCTTCTTCTCTTATAATATCTTCTGATTCACTTCGTTGCGGGGACCAAGACAGTTACTCATGTCCCTGGGACGCGCCGAACTTCAATGTTCCGGTGTTTTCATGGTTGTATCTACTGTAGATCCTGGTTTACAGGAGTTGCAGCGGTTTTGGGAGGTTGAGGCGGGCTTGTCCCTTAAAAAAAAGCCTGTCATTTGGTCCGTGCTGTTGCTGCTCATTGAATGGCAATATCTATCGTTCACTCCTCGTCTACCCTGGGTATCACGATATATATTAATTTTGTACATCTTCTAAAATATTCATTCCTCATTCCAGGTGGATTGCCCTAACGCGCCAGCCTTCTACGGTATCAACGAAGACCTGTATAAGGACGAGGCTGGAAACTACATCAATGGCAAAAAGTAGATCCTAGCTATAGTGATGTACCTTCTATTTAGTCAACTATCGATTGCATTAGTCGATTGTATCGATATAACTAATTGGGATCGATTATAATTGATAGTCACTTATTTAAAGACGTTTTAGTTGTTACCAAAATAAATAGCAGTTCTTAATCAAAAGTTTAGATCGATGCGATGTTAAAAATCGACATCAATACAATACCTTTGATCTATTCACTCAAACAGTTACGCGAGTGAGTCGGAAACATAATAATTAAACATATATAATTGGGTAGTTTCCAGGGAATCAAAATTAAAAATGTATTAAGTCCGTCAGTTAGATAATGAAAAAATATTAGACACGTATTTTTTAATTTTCTCGTATTAAATTGCAATACTTAGATAAAATGGCGCTAAGTTTAGGAGTGGGAGGTCGTTACGTCATAACGTGTTACAAAATGTGACACGCTGTGACGTCACACGAAATTTCTAATTATCGTCGAAAGTATTTAATTTTGAGAGAAAGGAAAAATACGTGTCTAATGTTTTAATTTAATGTACCAGACGGACATTAAAATAAAATTTAGGAAACTACCTTATTCCAATTAATAATATTTATCGATAAAGTCGACTATGCCTAATTTCGAAGACAAATAATCGATAGCTAATGAATAGTGGGTACATCACTTATAGGAAAATATTTACAAAATTAAGTACAACTATTTTTATACCTACACTAAATAACTTAAGTACAAAAATGATAAAAGAACAATTAATTTAACTTAGAAGTATTTTTTTACAGGCTTTATAGAAAAATTCTATCAAAATAGTAAAAAAATTATGAGTCGATAATTAGGCTTTTGAAAAAAAACAAAGTGTGAATGGACAATTCAGTCTATTTTTATAATTTATACTTAAAAAAAAACTTCTAACACAATTCAATTATGGATCATAATAATTATATGTGATATAAACTAACAATGGTTTTTATACTTTAATGATAACAATTAATTAGTCACATAATAGTATTAAAATTCATAAAATATATAGTTACCAATATACAACAAAAGTTACCATTAGCGAATAAAAAATAGTCTATGTAAATAAAAATGAATTTCTGTTCGATAGTCTCTATGGATTTATGGTTGAAGGTATTCAGTCTTGATTCTTGATTGTCGGTCTCGAAGTGACACGTTAAATCCAGATTTTACTAATTAATTCCCATTGTGGTACACAGAGACAGAAGACCAAATGCCACGGTTCTAATACCTCTATATATCTCTTTCGTTTCATCTACATTCATCTACTTATCTTTTAATGCATGCTCGTGGATTAGGCTGATTTTAGTGTCGCCCTGACCGCACGCTCACCGTCAGCGCTGACAGTACCTAGACATTAATTTCTAGGTATCGTTTCTGAATGACGCGTGGCTATTAAAGATACCAGCGCGCATGGTTCCTTGAATATCCATATTTCTCGGCTGTCAGCGCCGACCACAGAAATATTCTTCTTTAATATATCTGTGGCGCCAACGGTCAGAATGCGGTCAGCGCGACACTGAAACAAGTGTTAAAGATACTTTTAGTATTTTTTTCTTTATATTTTTTCATAACTTCATCAATTATCAACACACAATTTTTTAGGAGGTCGACATGTAACGAACTATGTAATAAAATCTAAGAACCTGAATCACACACACTTCTAATAGGGATGACGACAGGGTATGAAAATTAAAAACCTAATTAGTCCGTCAGTTAGGTAATGAAAAAACATTAGACACCTATTTTTTTAGTTTGTTGTATAATAAAATGATACTTAGATATAACGAATCAAAGTTTAGGAGTGGGGGCTAAAACGTCATTTCTACTTACGTATAAAATGTACATAGAAGTGACGTCACGCGACATTTCAAATCAATATACCTATCATCGAAAGTATTCGTTTCTGTAAGAAAATAAAAAATACGTGTGTAATGTTTTAAAATAATCTACCAGATGGACATTAAAATAAACATTACCCTCCTTCTTTGGCAGTCGGGTAAAAATTAGTCATCTACCGTATTGTTATATTATCATGAAACTTGGAAATTGTATGCTATAAGATGACAATACAATATTATGGTACCATTGAGCTGGTATAATGGTGGAATTGGAAGGTGGCTGATGGAACCTTTGACTAATAGCAAACATATCGAGTCTGACATAAACACATAAACATAACATGCCTTTTATTCCCGAAGGGGTAGGCAGAGGTGCACATTATACCACTGTACAATATAACACCCACTTTTCACTATTTATGTTATGAGTCCCATGTAATAGGGGGTGAGCCTATTGCCATATACCGGGCACAATTCCAGACTCCGTGCTACTACTGAGAATATTTAAAAACCCAGTAATACTTTTGCCCGACCCGGGAATCGAACCCGAGACCCCTTGCCTGGCAATCGCACTTACGACCACACAGCCAAAGAGGCAGCCGAGTCTGACTCTTTAGGTATATCTATTTCTCCTGATGTCGGGGACAAGTCATATGATTAACTCGTCGAGTACCGGTTTTATAGACACAATTAAAGAACAATAGGTCGCGGTCACCGGTAACCGCTTGGTGTTTGACAGTTTAAAAACATATTATTAGTTTATTTTGTGTTTCTTAACTTATATATTATGTATTTTATTTTTGATTTGTGATAGATATACCAATAAAATACTAAATCGAGTTTCTCTCTTTAGATAAAAATGTTGAAAGGAGTATTTTTGCATAACTACCTATGTCCATTTACGAGGTAACACCGGATGTATTAATTGTCGCTTTCTTTATCAAAATTATGTTATTTTTGGTAAAATTTTTGTCTCTTCAAATAATATAATAATCAACACAAGAAAACGTTATGCCGTTTTCATCTACCCGTAAACTGTCTCATAACTAGGAGTCACTTAGCGTGACGTAGCTCTTAAACCAACCCCTTACTTGTACTGTAAAGTGTATCTTATAGGTTGGTGAAATCTAAATGACGTTAATAGTCACCTATTATAGGTTAGGTGTTCCTTTAAAATGGACATTATAGTCCATACCTTATCAATCAACGTATAGTGGGCAGCAGATTAAATTATACTCTTTTATGTCAAATTTCTTTATTAAATTTTCAACTCTATCAGTTTGATATGAAGTAGAAATTACTATGATAAAAATTGACTTAATGGTATAATGTTGGCTACAGGACTATCATTGAAAAGATTTGAAATTAAAATTGTCGAATTATTGTAGGTTGTACACACGGCTACATATCAAGCTTTACATAACCAGTATAAACTGAACGTTAAATGTGCGGAAAGATGATGCGACGCGGCACCAGAATAAACTGGTTTTGTATAGATTGAAGTGTGGCCGTATGTACTACCACCTCTTTGAAAACTGGTTTTTCTAATAAAAATTAAAAGTTTTACAGCTTACTAACGTAACTTTTCGATGAGGTAACTCAACTAAAATGTTTATGACTATGAGCCCGTAGCGCGTCTTGAAATTAATCGAGATACCTCAACGAGTTACGAGAGTAAGCTAAAAAATCCAGTATTTTTAACACAATTTAACAAATTCCAGGGGTAATTCATACGACAATACATACGACAGACGACGACTGACTGCGAGACGCAAACGACAGGAGTACGTGACGAGACGGACACGACAATCTGACACTAATGACATACAAGTTAGAAAAGATAGAAGTTTGAAAAAATCTAGTTAAGGCCTGATTTATCCAACCGCAAGAGAACATCGAAGGAATAATTTAAATATTTGACAATAGATGAATGAATAGGGTAGATGCCTAATTTTTATTTTATTGTCCGTCTTGTAGATTATTTTAAATCATTAGACACGTATTTTTTATTATCTTACAGAAACGAATAGGTACTTTCGACGATATATTGATTTGAAATGTCGCGTGACGTCACTTCTATGTACACTTTATACGTAGAAATAACGTTTTAGCCCCCACTCCTAAACTTTAATTCGTTTTATCTAAGTATTATTTTATTATACGACAAAATAAAAAAATACTTGTCTAATATTTTTTCATTACCTAACTTACGGACTAATTAGATTTTTAATTTTCATACCCTGTCATCATCCCAATTCATTCAGTACTGAAAAATGTCTAATGTCAATTTTATTCTACAGTTAAAAATTATCTGTTGATTGAGAAATCAGGCCTTAGACATAATTGTGTACATCATGGACTGATTGACTGACTGGTTTTTTTTTTAAATTAATTAAGTGATTTGAGTATCTAATGATTATTGTCAACGTTATTTTATTAATCTGTCAGTTATCCATGAACCTTTACCTATGCCACTACTGCCGTGAAATTGTCAAAACAAAATGTTAATTTTATAAGTGTAAGAACTATTTAACATTTCTCTTATTTACTGAATTGTTGTATTTTTCATATTCAAACATAATTATAGTGGTTGAATAATGTGAATTGACTTATGCGGTAACTATTAAAAAGGTTATAATGTATATGTTATATGAGTAAAGGTTCATTTTGAGAATAATTTTGAGACTGATCTCAGTAACTATTCTCAGCGGCTCAATAGGTAATATGTAGATTCTTTTGGAAAATGTAGCTAACTTGACTATGACTATATGACTTTAGACTCAAATTGTATTTAACAATATCCATGGATTTGACATAGAAAACCGACCTAAATTAAAAATCTCTAGATTTAATATTTTTATCAGAAATTCAAGATTAAAATTTAATAAAAAGAATCAAATGATGTTAAAATCTTTAAATACGTTATTAAAAAAAATGAACCAGTTTTTAATGTCAAAAATAACAAAATAGTTTTTGTAACAGTAGGTACATTAACAAAATACAATTGTTACATTCCGTTATGTAACATAACAATTCACTTTAATTAACAATACAACACAACAATTTGCCCTCTATTAAATTAACAAAAAACACATTGACACGCGAATTAGCATTAATTTTAATTATAAAAGCGGAGAAAGTAAAAATAAACTATAAATCGTCGTAAATATAAATCTACAAAAATTAATAGCTTTCTTCCGACAGTAAATAACGTTATAAATGTCTTCATATAGACGCTAGGTTTTCAGCTAGACTCTTTTTAATATCATGCCCCTTCCACACGCTCGATGTTTGTAACATAACACATAACATCACGCCTCTTATCCCCGAAGTGTAAGGCAGAGGTGCACTTTATGCCACTGTATAATGGAAACACTCACTTTTCACTATTTATGTTATAAGTCCCATGTAATAGGGGGTGAGCCTATTGCCATATACCGGGCACAATTCCAGACTCCGTGCTACTATTGAGAATTTTTTAAAAATGTAACATTATAGACTCGACTTTGAGCATTACATTACAATAATACCTCCCTGACTAACAAGCATTTACGTGTAATGTAACATATAGATTCGACTTTGAGCATTTCATAGCAAGATGTCAGACATTGATGTTACAAGTTGTATCAAGATATTACACATTGTATCATTACAAGGTGCGCATTGTAATGCTCGGTTCTCCTTCTTCACTGATGTAATGCTCAGATCTGTAACGTTACATTACACGCGAATGCTCCCAGTGAGGGAACACCTTAAAGAAGAACAACATACAAACATACTGTACAATTCGTACACTTGTAGTTAAGTAGTTAGTTAAGTACTAACTATAAAGTTTATTGCACTCAAGTGTAGTACAGTATAGCACAGTTGGTAATTCCTTTCTCATTAGGTGTTTACTTCGTGGTTAGTAAAAACACACTCTCCTCGATAATTACTTGATATGTGATTATATACCTAAGCAATGTCGCGCGATCGTAACGATCTTAATGTCAGCAAAATATCTACCTCTATGTACCGTTGAAGACTGTACACATACAAATATCCTTCCACATGTTCGTGTTTGCTGTTCGTTGTTTTCTATTTGGTATTGTTTGTCAAGCGTGTGTACCCGGCATTAAAAGAAGGTTGGAACCACACGACTAAAAGCCTTATGTCGGAATACTCAAATGCTACTAAATTTTAAGTCGCGCTTAAGTATAGTTCTGTCTCTAAAAATTCTTTGTAAAACGACAGAGATGGCACGATATTTATTTAAAATTGAGTAACGTTTCAGTATGCCGGCATTTTTTTTATCATCGAATGACTGCTCCCGCCTGGGTGAGGCGGGAGGGAGTGTCAGACTCCTACTGACTAAAAACCACCCCGTTCCTTCTCCTGCACGTCGAGCCGCAGCCCCGGTTACCCGTTAGGTTCTCCGCGACGTATTCGGCATTAGAGATTCATTTCGTCCAACCAAGACAGTTATTCATGTCCCTGGGACGTTAGCTGAAGTCTAACGTCCCGTGTTCGTGTTCGTCCGTGTTCTGGTGTTTTCATGGTTGTACCTACTGTAGATCCTGGCTTACAGGAGTTGTAGTGGTTTTGGGAGGTTGTGGCAGGCCCTTTGGAAAATAATAGCGTGAAATTAGTAAAATGTATCTTCAAATTAAAATATGTTTCTATAAACCAATTTTGTAAAATATTAATTGTCTAATTTGCCATAAAAAAATTCTATGAAAATGTAAAATTAGTGTTCGTATATGTAAATGTAAATAAAATTGTAATATTGTAACTATAATATAATTTTGTACCTAATTATAAAATTAAATAATTAAGTATAGTTGTTTCATTTGCTCTTCACTACATACTATAAAACAAAGTCGTTATCCGCCGTCTGTCTGTCCCTATGTATGCTTAAATCTTTAAAACTACGCAACGGATTGGGATGCGGTTTTTTTAAATATATAGAGTGATTCTTAAGGAAGGTTTTTATCTTATACTATTATATAACGAGGAAGAGTTTGTTTTTTTTGTTTGAACGCGCTAATCTCCGTAACTACAAGTCTGATTTGAATAATTCTTTATGTGTTGGATAGTGCATTTATCGAAGATGGCTATAGGCTAAAACATCACACTATGACCAATAGGAGCTGAGCACAGCGTGTGAAACCGCGCGGAAGTTGCTAGTGTATAATACATGCATATTGCACCCGTGCGAAGCCGGGGCGGGTCGCTAGTTAAGAATAAAATTGGATATGTTTGTCGATTTATCATGAAGCCGCGGGTTTGAAGTGGAACTGGGCTGGTCATATCTGCCGCATGTCAGACGAGCGGTGGGCAAAACTTACTACTGAGTGGAGCCCACTACGTCAGTAGACGTCGCGGCAGGCCCAAAAGGAGATGGCGGGACGAATTGGACATCTATGACAAGGATTGGCCGCAAAAAGCTTTACATAGAGAGGAGTGGAAGGAGGGTAGGGAGGCCTTTGCCCTGCAGTGGTACGCTATTGGCTGTACGATAAATAAAATAAATAATGGTTATTGAACTGGTTGTAGCCAAATCTATATTTTATCATCATCAACAGTCTATAATGCCCACTGCTGACCAAAGGCCTCTTCTCACACGAAGAAGATTAATCATTAATTACTACGCTTGCTCAATGCGGGTTGGTGATTTCAAACTTATAATTAGAAATTATAAGCCCAGGTTTCCTCACGATGTTTTCCTTTACCATTTGTCAGTGGTGTCTAAATAATCTTAGAAAGTACATGTAACTCGGAAAAAGTCACATTGGTACTTGCCGTTGGTAGGTTTTAAACCCGCACCCTCATGCAGGAGAAGCGGGCGTCTTAAATTTCCGGACCACCATGACACGATATTTTATAGTAACGATGACTTAGAATACATTTGATTTGTCACCACCGCTACTCTTTCCGCGGGTGTCGTATACCCGACTAAGGGACTACATATTAGACAGAGACCGTGCAGCAGCGCTTTCCAATCTTCAACCCGCCTACTAAAAGAGACTAGTTATGTCAAATCCCTGTTATGTAGAGGAGATTCATAGTCCAGCTGTGAACTGTTACATAGATTTCAAAGTAGGTACCATGAAATAAGGAAAAAGTATCTTACTAATATTACATGTGTATGTGAAAGTTTGTGTGTTTGTGTGCAAGATTGTTACTCAATCAAATCAAACCGGCTGAAGGGATCAGAAAGAAATAAGCAGAAATAAGCTACATAGGCTACTTTTTATTACTAATACATACTTTTTTAAAAATAGTAACGAATGGAGTTTCTTGCTCGTTCTTCTCCATTCGAATCTACTTTTTGGAATGAGCACCTTGCTTTATCTAGTTTCACTGACGGACTGACTGACAGACTATTATTTATTTTGTATTTGTTGACGTTTCAAACTATGGTTTAATTGAAATAAATGCTTTGACTTTGACTTTGACTTTATTATTACTTTTTAACGGGTCAGCCTGTAACCGAGCAGACGGATCACTTGATGGTACGCAATCGGCGAACACTTGAAACACCAGAGGCGTCACAAGTGCGTTACCGGCCTTTTAGGAACTGAGAATTTGAGGATTGTAGGATTTGGTGATTAGGGAGACCTTTAATCCTCCGGTCTCCGGTAACCTCACTCACACGACGAAACACGACGCAAACGTTGTTTCACGTCGGTGTTCTGCTCGGCCGTGGTATCACTCCAGTCGAGCCGACCAATTCGTGCCGAAGCATGGCTCTCCCACTTAAATTTCATCCCGCTGTGACATGGGCGACGTCGCTGGCAGAAACTACTCCTTATTAATATTATAAATCGGAAAGTGAGTTTGTTTGTTTGTTTGTTTTTTTGTTCCGCTTTCACGCCGTAACTACT